GGGCTGCCATTTTCCATCAAGTGTTCAAACATTCAATTACCCAAGTCTGTCATTAACTTCTTTCTTCATTGTCTTCCAGGCACTGTGCCTGACTTGATTTGTTATTGTAAACTACGTGCCAGGGAGGGTGAAACTCAAGACACTCAGGTTTTCAGACACACATGCAACCAATACCTAGCCTGCCACTCTGAAATTCAACACAAGGTGTGTATACCTCTCGTGCCAGCACTTGGGAGGCAGAGGAAGGCAGATCTGAGTTCCAGGCCAGCCTTGTCTACATAGTGAGGCTCTAACACACATGAACAAGGACACCGATAGGCATGCCAATGTGGAAGGATGGTCTTCCCCAGGAAGAGCACAATAACTGGTCATTCAGCAACAGATGGTCACCCCTAGAACATACACACAAGTGACATGACAGGGGCTGAGCAGTTTGTATTTTGTATTTAGGCGTGCGCGCGCGCGCGCACGTACACACACACACACACACACACACACACCAATTATAAAGAGGCTGTGAATTTGAGTGACAAGGAAGGATGTACATGGAAGGGTTAGAGGAGGAAAGGGGAGAAATGATTTAATTATAAACTAAAAAACCCATAATTTTGTGCAAACTATTCATTTCAGCTGGTGAAGATATTCTCAATTTCCAACAGACTTGGTCTGAATGAGATCCTGAGCAGTGTGGTTTACAGTATAATAATTTGAAATTGTCCAGCCTATCAGTTTCTTAAACAATTTTCCCACTCTACTGTACGTGACGGTTCATGTCTGTACTCACATCTCTTATTGAGCAGCTACTATAACTTGGGAACGGAAATAAAACATCCAATGAAATCAGTATCAAAAGGAGTAATGGACAAGGATCAGAGAGCTCACTGCCTCCAGGACTCATTCACAGCACAGCTGATAAACTAATAAATGCACTGGGAGTGAGGAAGGGACAGGAGGGCTGTGCTAAGTGCCACCCAGCCTTTACTAACACCGATCTTATGTTAGAACCCAGTGACAGAAAGAACAACTGAGCAGTTGGCAAAGTTTAGTTACAAGTTCCAGTTTTACGGCAGCTTTGGCTTCTGACTATGAACTCAGAAAGCCCTCCTTCTGGAGAGTGATAGTGAACATGCATCGTGAAACCTGGGTTTTAACCCTCGGCACAGGCGGCACACCTGCCCGGCAAATGCAGCTTCCGCATCTGAAATGGGACAGACAGGAATCCTTTACATGTGGCTTGGAATTCTGCCATCCACAGCCCAAACTCAAGGTTGACTCTCTAAAATCCGGCCACCTCGGTGATTGCAGGGCCTCTTCCACTGCGTCCTAAGGCTAACTGCATCAGGTGAGAGCAGTTCAGACGCGGGGTTCCAATCCTTCCCTGCTCGTGTCAAATGAAGGAGAAGACATACGGTAAACCGCGTGCACAAGTCTCAAGGCATATAAACCAGGAGGTCCAGTATTAGTAAAGGTCAAATGAAAATAAAAATGAAGACACAATAAGTCTCTCAAATAAACATGTGAAGAACTGTTTTCTAAAAATAAAATACATGTTTTATTTGGAAAAAGTCAGCATCTTACACAGGTTTCAAATCTGTATTTTCATGAGTTCCAGGACAGCCAGGGCTACAGAGACTCCGTGTCAAAAAGTAATGTCCTTGAACTTCACGTCCACCCCCTAATCCCTCTGGCCCAGACAGAATTGGCCTCGGGCCAGGCAGCTCGGGCTGCCATTTTCCATCAAGTGTTCAAACATTCAATTACCC